TTTTGGAGGTCAAAAGAAAATAAGACCCTGTCTTATTTTTGGGGACACATGATAGTTTTTAATATCATGTGACGTAAAGTCAGTGTATTGCTTATTCAAACTGATTTTTTAAAAAAAAAATTTAATCTGATTGAAATTTTCCAATTTGCACCTGGTCTGACAGATTGTATGGTATCTTTAGAAAAGTAGCACAGCAAGGAGTGAAATATTGCATGAGGAAAACTGAAAAAATCTCTTCATGCCTGGGTAATAATGAATTCACTTGGCAAATCACAGCACTGCTGTCAGTAGCGTGCTCTGCAACTTAGTAAGGTAGCACTAAGGACTTTGTATTCTATGATCTTTCCTGTCCAAGCTTGGCATAAAAAATATATCAAAAGAGTTGTTTTCTGTGCAGAATATGATAAAGCTACTTTTAACCCTGTTCTTTTAAGACTACGGAGTGCTCAAATGTGTGAGCCTACTGATTTGCTTTAGAGTTTTGTAAAATGTGCCTACTATGCATTTGTTGAAACTAAGATGTTCCCCGAGTGTTGGCAACCAGGTCAAGATGTTGGCCCCAAGGATGTGATTGAAGCCTTGCCTATATTTTGTATGTGGGGTTTCAATTGCAACACTATGGCCACTTATCTTGAGTATTTTTGCCACACCTGACGGGCACTCCTGGTTAAAAAAGACTCTCAACTGTGCAGGAGGCTCAGTCCTAAGGATGAGGTGGTTGCTAATTGTCAGCTGTACTTTTTTTGCTGCTGACACTTGCTGTGGGATATATTTCTGCTGCTGTTCTCACTTCAGATAGTGCTGTTGAATGTAACACTTTAATGAAGTTGTGGCAAGCTGCGCAGTCACATTTCAATTTCTGCATTTTGCTCTGGTTTTTCCTTCACTGAAAGTTACTAGTCAAAATGAAACCCACAAATCTCTATTTACATATATAGCAAGATGAGGGAGTTATACCAGAGAGTTGTTTAAAAAAAGTTTATCTTCTGCTTTTTCTGCTGAATTATAAAATAGTATTCACATGAAGTTTTAACATTTGTACAATCAGTGGATAATGTATTAATATAATTCTGTACTGATGAATCAGGGAAATCTGGAGATGATTGAAAAAATACAAGCAGTGCATATGGTGGATTGGGCCAGTCCACCACCTTTATCTCTAGCCTTTTGTACACTTTCTACTTTTCAGGAAAATTATTGAGAAATTATCAATTTTTTTCCAATTTGACACTTACCTTTTTGTTTTATGCTTTTGAACCATTTGGACATAACCTTCATGCAAAATGTACTTTTTAAATTGAATTGCAAAGAAGAAATAAGAATCAATGTCTGTGTCTCTGTTTAATTAGGCTTAATATTTGTTTAACTATGAGAATCGAATGCTATCTAAACTGCACTGGTTTGGTCAGTACAAAAGAAGTGCTGAGGTCTGGAGGAACAAGATGTAGTGGTGGTTAATTATGAAACTAGTTACCGGCAAATTAATGGTATATAAATTTGCCAAGAGTAAAAATGATCTGATCCAGATGATTAGGACAGCAATTCTGTTGAAGGGAGAGGCATTTTGAATTTGTTAAAGCATTGACATACTCAATAGAGTACTCTGGCACTAATTTATACTTTTAACATACAGTCCATGAACAAGTTCTTGTATGATTATTTTTAAAAAAAAAAAAATGAGGAGGAGGAAGAAGAGGAGGAAAGACAAATTTGAGCTTGTATCATCTGAGGATCTGCCAAATGTCCAAATACTTTAAATCAGTGGTCACCAATTGGTGGTCTGCAAGAAAATTTTGGTGCTCCACAGAAAAAATATTTGCATTTTTTATTTTGCACTAAATACTATTTATCTTTTTAAAAAATCATATTAGTTGTCCACAGGATTAAAAATTATGAATTTAGTGGTCTGAGGTCTGAAAGGTTGGTAACCCCTACTTTAAGTAGCTAAGAGACAATGTTTAATTAACCCTCCCTGTTAATAAAATAACACAGGATAAATGTCAGTCCAGAGATAAATAACCTAGTGCAGTGTCTATTGAAGCCTCTTTTGCAGCTTGTGGCACATAAATCTGTTTTGAGGGTTATTAGAGTCTGAATTAACCAGAGTTTTAGGAACAACAAATGTGTGCATCATATTTACTTCATCATCAGGGAATCCCACACCTCTTAAGAATAACTGCCTCTGCATTTAAAACAATTTAAACCCCGTCTTCTTTTTATTCAGTATGTTCAGCCAAGGCACCAAAATAGCTATTATAGTTTTTAAAAATGTGGTTGCCCCTATGCAGCAGCATTTAGATAAAATAAAGGAAGGGGGGGAAAGGGAGGATGAGGAGAAGAAGAAGAGGAAGGAGAAAGAAGAGAAGGAAGAGGGAGGAGGAGGAAGATGGAAGAAGAAGAAAGTAAAAGAAAGAACTTCTCCACTATTCTGTTTCCTGCAGGGCAACATGTAGGGCATGAATGCATCATTTTGCTTTCATCTCTTTCCAGGAACAGATATTAGAGAGATGCTCTCTCCACCTATTGAGGTTCCAGTGTGCACAGTGGGGAAAGAATGAGGGCTGCGAAGAAAATAAGGCATAGTCCATGTTCTTGTATGCAGAAATCCCTTCTTAGAGTGCTTAAATCTGGCAACAATCCACACTCTGCTCCCTTTAAAGACTCCCAGAGGACTAAAAGTGGCTTTGCACAGCTTGGTCCTTCCAAGTGTTTACCGTGTCATTTGTTGTTACGCAGCACTTCAAATGTAAGTCTCCTTGGGAAAAATCAATCACTGAAACTGTGCCCACATGTAAACAAATTGTATTGTACAAATAAACAGGAGACATTGTCAAATTCTTTTCCCATCTCTAGGAAGCAGAATGGAGCAATAGCCCTCCTATCTACTGAGAAATGGTACTTAGCATAAATTTTAAAAGGCAAAAATTTAAAAAAGGCATGAAAATTGCTGGACGGTTGCATTCTAAGGAGGCAGCATGAAAAGGGTGCTGTTCTGAGGCTAGATTCAATAAACATTCCTTGCACTCCTTTCTGTCCTGGAAGACTGCCTTGAATTGATCGGTGTGTGTTGATGTAGCCTTGCAACAACTCTTGTGAAAGAAAGCTGGTTAGAATTATTTCCTATTGATTCTGCTGATGTATAATTTTTGTAGAGCTGTTTAACCAAGGGAACTTAATACATAAAATTAGAGCTGGGCGGGGAGGGTTCTTCATATACTGATGATCATTAGAAGACCACACTGTATTACTGACCATCTAAATATTGATTCCTCCTAACTTTGGAGGTTCTGTTGGCAAGAGGCAGAAAAGAGCAAGTGATGTGTATTTGAAAATATATTAATATCTGGAAAATATGAGACACAGAGAAAGTGGGGAGAGGGAGATGTCAGAAAGAAAACTAGAAAAAAGAGCATGAGAAAGAAAGGGAACAACAAGTCCTTTCCATTCACTTCAGCTGAGGCCTGGCTACCATTTACCTTTGATGCTATGTGAAATGATTTAACATATTACCCTCTGTTAGCAATCCCCTTGATAGGAAAAAAAACGACCTTATTGGAAAATATTTATGTACTAGCTAGGACAGCAATGATGGTCCAATTTCTAGTAAGAGGGAATGGGAAATCCTTGTTTCTTTTCCTTTACTTTCCTCTGCAGGAATAAAATTTCAAGAAGATATAAGTGACATTTTGTAGGGGGCTATTGTAAGGTAACTTTGGAGGTTCTGTTGGCAAGACACTGAGCTTGTTGATCAGAAATGTTGGCAGTTTGGCGGTTCAAATTCCTAGTGCCATGTAACGGAGTCAACTCTGGTTACTTGTCCCAGCTTCTGCCAACCTAGCAGTTCGAAATGCATGTAGAAAAATAGGGACCATCTTTGGTGGGAAGGTAACAGCTTTCCATAGGCCTTTGGTGTTGAGTCATGCCGGCAACATGACCATGGAGATATCTTCAAACAGCGCTGTCTCTTCGGCTTTGAAATGGAGATGAGCACCTCCCCCTAGAGTCAGGAACGACTAGCACATATGTGCGAGAGGAGTCTTTACCTTTACTTTTTATTGTAAGGTAAGTACTGGTTGAAATCAGGCATTCCTGGTTATAATCAAGCCATCCAAAGTAGTCCCACAGTGAGATGAGCAGCAAATATATTTAACAAATAAATAATCAGAAATAATTACTTCTTACAATGAAAAACTGAAAGATGAGAGCTCACATCTCTATCCACCTATAAGATGGAAAGTAATACATGTTTGTGGGGATGTTGTATGCCCATGTCCTTCCTGGCTGTATGCAACCCCTGAAAGATGAGGAGTAAAACTATATCCATTACACTATGACGCCGCTATAATTTACAACTCAGCTGGGAAAGCCCAGGTTTCAACCTATGTTGTTCTATGAAATCCTTTCTGTAATCTTGGACCAGTCACTATTTTTCAGCCTAAACTAACTAATTAGACTTTTATGAAGATAAGATGAGTTGGATAAAATTCATGAACATTTATTACAGGGATACTACAGTAGTAAGTTTACTAGGGCAGATTCAAGTAAAGAATCTTTTTCCTCCAACTTCAGTACTGTGTACAAGTAGACACAAAGTATTCAAATATAGAAACATTCCTCACAGAAAAAGTCATTCCTTGATATGTGATGAAACAATCAGAATTCCTGAAATACATGCAGCTCTGTAAGATTAAATGTTGTATTAACCAAAACACAATGTAGAATGCTAATAGAGCCCCTCAGATATAGTACTTCATGTTGAAGTTCTCAGTTTCAGTGGCTCATAAAATTTATTTTTCTGGATATTACAATTTTGGAACAAGGATGGTGGTTGTTTGGGATAATATGATATGAAATCCAATTCATCTGAAAGCTATTGGATCAGGAAAGGTACCTTATGGAAATATCCTATTGTTAACAATGATGACATTGTTAAATTAATTAGCTTAAAGGAATTTCATGAATAAGTAAATCTTTCATTGCTTTGTGTTCTTTTATTTCAGTTTCTCCAAAGATAAGTCATATCTCAAATGATATTGTGGCAAATGAAGGAAGCAACATCACATTGGCCTGCTTAGCTACAGGGAAACCTGATCCTTCCATCTCTTGGAGACATATTTCTCCATCAGGTATGCTTTAACAATTATTATTTTCCTTGTTCTCACTCTGTTGCATACAAGCCAACAAAAAGAATCCATTTGCTCAGGAACCTAGAATAGTGTTTCTCTGAGAAATTTGGAAGCAATTAAAAAATCTTGAAACCTGTTTGAAAATCGGTAATTAAATCCCACTCAATGAGACACAAGGGTGAATCTTTCTGATGAAAGTGTCAGTAATTTTTTAAAAAATAGTCATTGAAACTTTTTTTTTACTTTAAGGTATTTTGTTTATTAATCACTTGTTTTTATGTATAAATTAAACAATTTTCTGGCCAAAGTATATGTATTATGTATAGAAAAATGAAAAAGAAAACTGAGAAAAAAATCACATTGGTTTTCAAATGCAGTTTTCATACCAGCCATGATGCTAGCCCATTCTGTGGGCAAGATCTTTTCTTCAAATATCTAGGAATAATGGAACAATCCAACTTGCACAATTAATAGACAAAAATGAAGTGACATATTGGTAGCATAGTATGAGACAGGCCATCTTTAGGTAAAGGCTGGCTAAGTAAGTACTTGTCCTGGGTACCAAAATTTAGAGGACATCAAATACTGCCCCTCCTGAATCATTCTAAAAATAATTCTAAAAAAGCAATTATTTCCAGTGGCTGGAGGTGGCACTATCAATCAGTGTAGGTTAGGGGCCTCCTTTGCCCTTCAACCAGCACTGAGACAAGAACATTGCCCAGTTGTCCAAGTTTGGCCTTCCCTTGATGGAAGCAGCATGGCAAGAAATTGTAGTCCTCTTGCCTGATTTATAGAATTATGTTTTCCCTCTGATAGGATATGGATGTTATGCATTGTATTGAAATATGAAGAGTTATTTTGCATTTACCTGTAACAATGGAAAGAAAGTTAAGGAGATTCAATTAAGCAACCTTGAAAAGTGGCAATCCTGTATCATTATCTTATTACTTTGTACTGTATACTCCCTCAAACCCACGTGGATGCTGAGGCTCTTTTAATTTTTTAAATACACAGATTTGTTAAATGTATATGGTATGAGGATACTGTCATTATAATCATAAGCTCTGCTTTCCCCCACCCTTGAGTAAAATAGAAGTGTAAAATCTACTAGATAGCATCAAATAATGTCTTTGGCACTGTCTACTGTAATGATTGTCCAGAGTTTTGCAGTCCAGAGATGATGGCTTAACTTTCTATGGTACTCATTCAGTGAATGCATAGGCGCACAAATATACGTATACATATATGTCTATGACAATTCTCCACAACCAACTCACCATGGCCAATTCACCACAGCCAACTTGTTGTGTTGTGACTCAGCAGATGTCTGCTGTGAGTCTTTTCGGGATACAAGATTCATTATGCAGCTGGGGCTTGTTAGAGGCAGATAAAAGAATGGATGCTGCCACGCCCTAGTCACAGGAGTCAACGTTCCTTCGTGCATACAACATTGCTTGATACACTTGTATAAGTGCTTTGGTGTTTCCTGTAACCCTGATTCAAGGCTACACTTGGAGAAGTGCATTGCTTGTAAGAGTTGTTTTGTTTTTCATTCCATTATCTAGTCAGAGACTGTATTTATGTTATTTTTGGGCTCAAAGCCAGTCTGAACCGAGAACTGATAAAAAGACTTCCTTTTAAGTTTATTCGTCTTGCCGTTTGTTAAGAGCCATGAAGGGGGGACAGAACATTGTTGCAAGACAACTTACTGCGAGACAAGGGTTACACTAAGATCAAAGAAATGGTGGACTAGTATCATTAAAGAAGGGATGAAAAAGGAGGGACAGAATGAAATCTGAATGACAAAAAGTAAAATATTTTTATTTGTCTTAAATAATTAAATAGAATTATCAAATTGTCCCTCAAAGAATTGTCCCATGGTGAGTTGGCTGTGATGAGTTGACCGGAATGAGTTGGCTGTGGCAAATTTGTCCCATTACAGCTACAGCTACATACATAGACACAGATACACATATACATGCACATGCAAAGACACATATACACAGATGGAAAGACAAAACCACATATTACAGATCTGCAAGTCATTGGCAGAGCCCTATGTTCAATAATACAATACAATAGCAAAGTTGGAAGGGACCTTGGAGGTCTTCTAGTCCAACCCCCTGCCTAGGCAGGAAACCCTATACTATTTCAGACAAATGGCTATCCAAAATCTTCTTAAAGACTTCCAGTGTTGGGGCATTCACAACATCTGGAGGCAAACTGTTCCACTGATTAATTGTTCTGTCAGGAAATTTCTCCTCAGTTCTAAGTTGCTTCTCTCCTTGATTAGTTTCCACCCATTGCTTTTTCTTCTGCCCTCAGGTGCCTTGGAGAATAGTTTGACTCCCTCTTCTTTGTGGCAACCCCTGAGATATTGGAACACTGCTATCATGTCTCCCCTGGCCCTTCTTTTCATTAAACTAGACTCCAGTCCCCTACAATAAACATGCAAGGAAGATGATACTGGAAAATGAGTGCTATTTTTAATCTCATCTTGTAACTGGGAGTTAATAAGGCTTTGGAGAATGGGAGAACAGTGGTTATCTTACTTCACTGTTCCACAGGTTCTGACATAAAAATGGTTGGCCTAAAGTGATGAAGCAAATAAAAGGAGATTCCCCATTTGAATATAGCTGGCTTCTGAATAACGATGGCCTTTCTGAAAATAATACTGTGGTTGTCCTCTTTTTCTTACAACAGATATACAGGTAGTCCTCAACTTACGACCATTCATTTAACCATTATTCGAAGTTGCAGCAGAACGTCAACAAGTGACTTGCGGTTTTCACACATGCAATTGTTGTAGCATCCCCAATTGTTATCTGATCAAAATTTGGCTCTTGACAACTGGCATGTATTTATGATGGTTGCACTGTGCTATTGTTGTGTTATCACCATTTGTAACCTTCTCAGCTGACCTCTGACAAGCAAAGTCAATGAGGGAAGCTAGACTCGCCTAATGACTGCATGGTTCACTTAATAACTGCAGTGATTTGCTTTACCACTGCGGCAAAAAGGTTGCAAAATGGGAAAAACTCATTTAACTACTCCCTTGCTTAGGAACAGAATTTTTGGGCTCAGTTGTGATCATAAGTTGAGGACTATCTTAAATGGCTTATAACAATTTTGTCCAATTGCCATGAAAAGTAACTCTGTTTTGGTTCTATCCTTATTTCTCTATTTCAGTCCTGTGCCTCCCTATCAGACCTAGATTTAATCCCCCTGGAAAGGTTCTAATGTGATTTAAGGCAACATCTGTTGGGCCAGGATAAAATTCCGTAAAATCCAGGCTTCTGTGTCACTCTGGAAGAAAATGGGATATTATCCTCTTTCCATTTTTTAATTCCAACAGCTGGATGATAAGATTCTAGAGCTAATAGACACCTATCAAGACGAGTAGCCATCGAAAGGCTAACCTTTATTTTTTTTTAATTATCTCAACATAATAGGTCTTTCAAAATGATTCAAAATACATGATTTAATCCTTGCTTAAATATGGGTGTTGTTTTTTTTCTGGTCACTGAACCCAATTTTTTCAAGTTACAATACGAGCCAGGGAAAAAAAAGTGCTAGAAAGATTCCAATGCTTTAAAGCAGAGATGGGGAAACTATGGGCCCTTTATGACTTGTGGATTTCAAATCCCAGCATGGCTAGCTCAGGCATTCTGGGAGTTGAAGTCCACAAGCCATAAAAGGGGCATAGTTCCTCAACCCTGTTTTAAAGAATCAACTTTAAAAATAGCATCACCTCTTTTTTCTGATCTATGCACAAACCTTTTTTTTAAAAAAAAGCAGTATCCTTCAATAAATAGCAGGAGTTGCTTTCAGTGAATAGCAGGAGATGCAATTTGCAATGTTTCTTCCAAAACATTGTTTTAGAGTCACTCATCATTCTACTGAATAAAACTAAATCTGATTCCAACCCTCTGGCTTTAGCTCATGATCTAACCCAATATGTTTGAGACTTATTTCTTCAAAATACTCCACCAACTGAAACAGAGGCATTAAAAGAAATATAATATAACCTCAAGATGAGCAGATGGAAAATATTGGTTTTGCCTGGATTTGAACTCTCTTTTCTGTTTTGCCCTTGTTAGAGTTACCTCCCCATCTCATTTTGGAGTAAATTAATAACAAAGAGCCACAAATGATTGTTATACAGCAATAAAATAAAATAACTCAGTATAATTTACCCCAGTTCATTTGGATCTTACTTAGTTTGACAAATATTTTGATATATTCTATGAATGTCATGTGGATATTACTGGTAGAGTCACATCCTGGTAGGATTGAAAGTAATGCTAATCAGCACTTTACTTTGCAAAGAGGGGCTTGAAAGAATTACTAATAGTGACCTTTCAAAGAGCAACAATTAAACCTTTTTAAGTGACCTCCAACTGAGTAGAAAAATCAGTTACATCATAAAGGTAGTCTTTAGCTAAATGTCAACAAAATTGTGTTGGGAACCTTGGGCAGTCTTCAAAGTGGGAGCTTAAGACAAGAGTTCACCTAATGGTGTTTTCTGTTAAAATTACATTAATGGAACCCTACTGCCATCTTGCAAATCCAGCAGAAAAGCAGGGATTTCCCCAGCAACTGGCTCTTTGATGAGACCAGCACAGTCTTCAAGATTTCTTTAAGCTATAAGTCAATTAAACTCCCATCAAATCCGTAACATGTTTGTGTTTTTTGCAATGAGTCAACAGATAAATTTGGAAAATATGAGTGCAAGTTAAAAAGTTGTAAATGAAAGGGATGTAAAACCAATAAAAATAAAGCCAGAGGTGGTATTCTACCGGTTTGGACCAGCTTGCCTGAGCAGATAGCGGAAATTAGGCATGGCCCCACCAACCCATTCCGGCATCCCATTTAGCCCCCCCCTTTTTTGCCAAAAGCGCATGCACAAAAGGGTGTGTGAATGCATAGAGGTCACATTTGCGAAGGTAAGTCAATACCACCCCTGAATAAAGTTCTTGAACAAATATTACAGAAAAGCA